TCGATGCATGATTGCAGGTGCCCCAAGTAGCGGCGAATGGTCGCTGTGATTTCCACCCGCGCCAGACCCGCACATTCCTTGGAAACTCCCCTGCAGCGCCGGACTTGGGTCCACATCCAGAGGCAGCTTTTCCAAAGCCACTAGGCATCTAGGCAGTTGATAGTCCCTGTTTGGCCGACCCGCCGGCCACCGCACCATCCCTAGAGCTCCCGACACCGCATACCGTACCGCCGACCCGGAGAGCTCACTCACGTCGACCAGCGCGCTGAGGTGCGTCTGCACAAACAACAGGTGCTGGTGCTCCTCTAGCTGCTTGTGCTGCCGGTCGCCGGCCTCGGGCGATTCGGCGCGCGCCGCCGGCCACTCGTCAGCCGTGAGTGAAGACACCGACACCAGCCGCTGCTTCTTGCCGCTGTGGCTCAGGTTCTGGTCGGCACCGGGGTGGACAGGCGGGACAAGACACGTGTCAGCGGACGTACTGAAGAGGTGTGCCGGGCGGTCGGCACTGGGGTGGACAGGTGGGACAAGACACGTGTCAGCGGACGTGCTGAAGAGGTGCGCCGGGCGGACGATCAGCTGCAACTATGGCTTAGACTGTGAAGGATATACCGCAACCATCGTGACACGCCACTACGCGAGACATCAAACACAAATTATGAATGCACCTAGTGCTGTTTTTGTTTTGCAAGCACGCATAGACAGGTCACCAGCAGCCGGTGCCGTCACCGGTCGCTTCACCTGGATGAAGAGGTAAGCGATGAACTGCAGGATGTCGACGTGTCGCTGACCGGCGAACTGGTCGCGCTCGACAGCACCCTCGCAGCGCGCGTACTCGCCGTCCCACTGCAGCCGCTCGTCCGGCAGCCGCGGCGTCAGCAGCTCGAACGTGTCGAAGTACAGCCGCGCCAGGCTCTCCGTCAGCTGCAGCTTGTTGCAGGCGATGTGCTTCCACAGACTGTAGTAGAGTCGTGGGAAGTGGGCGGAGCCGCGGTGACGCGCGTACTGCACAATCTTACGCAGGTACTTGACGGAGATCTTGTGCGTGGCGTTCACAGGCAGGATGCCGTACACGAATGGTTCGGAGCGTACCCACAGGCGCGGGCTGCGCTCCGGCTCAGCGCCGTCCGCCATCGTCGCCACGGCGGGCGCGTAACGGACGAGCCACCAACTGTCCGTGCGTGTACGGCGGACGCGGCAGTAACCGTAACTTCGATGGACACGTGGCAGGCTTAAACACACTCTGAAGATAGAAAGTTAGGCGGAACTTAAGTCTTATATGTCTGGTAAATGCACCTATTTAGATGTACCTAATTGGTGAAGTAAGGCGCGCTCTGACAGGCATGTACTGCGCATGATATTTCAATAAAATTTTTGTGGGATTTTCAGGCCCGAAACAAGCACGTCGCATGAACTTCCCATGGTCTAAAACAGTATAGAGACGCATACTCCCCTCCTCAAAGGCGGATTTGGGGGAAGTATGTGTGTAGGGAGGACAGGACAACCGGAACATCCTCCAAAATGATAATATTCAAGCACAATTTACCACCAAAACTTTGCTGCAGAGCACGTCTCAGATGCGAGCAAGTGAAACCCGCCGAGATTGTAAGAACAATAACAACTTCTGATGTAGCCGCCGCCCCCCCCCCCCCTCCCGCCTCTTAAGCCGGCGTTACTATCTAGGCGGCTTTCTGGATCCGCCACTGATATTTTTAGACGTCGAAAATCATTACACCGCTCATTCGACATCTTTTTTGTAATGATTAAGGGTTCTGGGTGCTACTTGCGTTAGAAAAGTAGCTACACCTCCGCGTGCAATCTTGCTTGTTCAGGCGCATACCAACGAGCCAGCTGCCATACGTGGCCGGGAGGGGACAGCAGGGAGGAGGGGGGGGGGGGGGGGGGATGGATAGAGGCGTGTTTCCTTAGCGGAAGACAGTGCAGAAGTGTTTCAAAAATCTTTGGAGACTCTTTTCGCCCAAACTGGAGGTTGTGTATGTAAATATATTCGGATCTACGAAGCCCCTATAGCTGAGGAACGGAGCATTAAACCAGGCTTAAAAGACTTTCCTGCATCAGGAGGCCCGTTTGGTCGACCAGAAGATTCCTTCACGGCTTAGGTGGCCCATGCTCTGGATCGGAAGGCCCTATGCCATGGTAAGGAGGCCTCTTTGTTAGCTCGGGAGGCCTCCTTCATGAATTTAAGGCACATGTCTGGGGCACAGTTCTGGATTAGGAGGCATCTTATGCATCAGAAAGCCCACTAAACTGGAACAGGACATTTTGCATATCGTAAGGCCACTTCCAGATCAGGATACCAGAGGCCTTTTTAGTGGGTTGTAGGGATTTTTCCCCAGGTAAGGAGGTCCCTCTAAGGGACCTCCTTACCTGGGGAGGTCCCTTAGAGGTCCCGAGGTCCTCTTCCCAACAGGAGATCCTGTTTTGGGATGGAGTCTCTTTGCGGCTCTGGAGGTCGCCTGCATCTTTACGATACAGGCGACCTTTTTTTCTTTATGCTCCTTTTCTGGATATTTTAAGTGATGGCATCGAGTCGCATGGATCTTGATGCATGTAGCAATTTCATGAGGAAATGCTCTCCCCCTTGTATATAACACCGCCCAGGACAGCCGCCAGAGTTTTCTATACAACAAATCGGAGAGCACGCAATCACGTAAGCACGCAATCACATAGATCTTAAAATTTCTGTCATGAGACCCATGGCAAAAAATGAAATCTGGGCCCAAGAGGCCCTACCAGGCTGTGCCTGTGGCCCAGGACCAGGAAGGGCGTTCCTATGAGGAAGCACCATTGTCCAGAAAGCCTGCCCTAAAATGCCGCTCCCCCCCCCCCCCCCCCAATGGCATCGTCGGAAGCACCGCCCCTGCACTTGGGTATAGCCTGTATATACCTACAAACAGGCGCACAGGTATGCACCTGTTTGCGTATGCATAGTAAAGGTCTGAGAAGGAAACAACATATTTGACTGAATGAGAGCGCAGCCCTATCCTTCAGACGAGGTTTCTTCCCGAAACGCCTATTTCCTCAACGCGCCCGGTTACGCATTTGCACAAAGGCGATTGAGAACTTAAAATGTTTACATTATATCTAGGTTTGAATTATCAGGTACTTCACTGCCTTCGCAGTTTCAAATGTGCCGAATTGCCGCATTTTCTTTAAAATCAACTGCGCGCCCAAAGTATGTGCCAGGTAGTTTTGTTTCTACCGCGCATTGCTCTGCGCAAGTTCATATATGACGTCATTGAGAGCACACTTAACGCTGGGGCAGCCACCTAGTTGGCAAGGGAAAGCGATCGCAGGACAGATCCAGAGGGAGAAACGGGGTCACGGACTCCTTGGGCCACTTCAGGACCCAAGAGGGCCCAGAGGCTCCGAGGGGGGCCATAGGGGCCTATGAAGAGGCCCATTCCCGAAAGGGGCCGAAAAGGCCCATATGCTATGGGGCCCCTATCCTGCCCCCGAAGGGACCCATATTCTACGGGCCCCTCGGAGCCTATGAGCCCCGAACAGACCCATAGGCTCCGAGGGGGCCCTAAACGTCCACTTGTGGGGTCAACCTGATCGTTAAGGAACGTTCTATGTTGTCCTTGATTTCTTTGCATTTGCTCGGAGGGCCCTGCGCTGTTGCTGGGGTTCTCCTTGCTACGTACCGGGACACTCTCTGTCAATCAGGGACCTCGTACGGATTCTTTTCATTAGCCCGAAACGCTCTATACTCTGGAGTCGGGGGGCCCATATGTCGGCATGCCGGGGTACTTTATGTCAATATTTCATGCCGGGGCTGCTTGGGGGCCATTAGCGTTGGTTACCGTTAACCTAACGAAACGCTAACAATATGTTCATGGGCCCTCTTTAGTGCGCTAGGACCTTTCCCCCATTTTTTGGCACTTGCTTTGGCCCCTACACTCTTGTCTGGGACGCATCTATTAACCTACTTGGGCTCACTCGGTCGTTCGGGGTCCTCCAAATTGGGTCTTGGGTAATTCCCTTTGGAATGGAGGGCCCTATGCACTTGTTGGGGCCCCTATTTGTCATCCAAGGTACAAAACATTTTAAGACAAATAGTATGTAGCATATATATAAGTAAAGATATCTACATCTATATACATATGCATAATAAACACAACAGTCCATCCCGCTGTGCGCAACTCTAAAAAGCTAGATGTGCTACGCATGCATATACATAGAGTTTGTTTATTTTCTACAGATCATGTTGAATCCTGTAATTTTGAGGCTTCGAGTTTCGGAACAACAGGCAAATTAACCCGAGGTGGCTGCCAACAACCATCAAAACCAAGCATGGATTTAATTCCTGGCTTATTTACGGCTAGCCGACTGGGCGATGTCATCAGCTGATGGCTGATGACTGGTGCGGAATTTGTCCTTTGTTATAAAGCAGTACAAAATGCCCTGGTATTCAAAATATGTTAAGAACAATGATGTACTAGTATAATAAGCGTCACACGCTCAACAGTCAATGAAAATGACACATACGATGTCCGCGGCACGTAAAATTACGTTTGGCAAATGCGCGTAAAAATTCATCAGTGCATATCCGACTGCTGCTCTAAGGCGAAGGCACCAAGGCCAATAGGGACGGAACGTGGGCGATCCTGGGTACCGCAGGAGGCCAACAAAGTGGCTGCCGTCAGCAAGCATAGGGTCCTCAGAGCAAACAAAAAGAACCCAAGAGAAACGGGCGTGGTGGGCCCCTAAACGATCGGCGGTGTCCCGGCAGGCTGCCATATAAGGGCCCGGCCTCTCCACAGTACAGCACCCTCTGAGCAAAGGGAATCATCCAAGACCATGAATGACCATGACCCCTGTGCGATCAACAGTGCACGGGCAGGCTAACGGAAAGAGCCTCGATAAGGGTGAAGAGTTCTCCGCAAATGAGATCAAAGGGAAAGAGCCCTCGATGAAGGTAGGAGGCCCCTGAGCATCGAGCGTTTCGTTGCCTTACCTTGTAAGAGCTACAGCAACAACACATGGTCCTCCAAGCAAGTCGAAAGAACCCGACACTAATATGAAGAGCCCCTGAGTGACTGAGTGTACCCTGGCATATGGGGCCCTGGAGAGAACGTATGGAGCTTTTCAGGCGAATGGGAAGAATCTGTGGAGGAAAGCCTGCATCGATCAAGAGTGCCCAGGCATGGAGGTGGATAGCGTCCCGACAGCACCGTTAGGCCCTACGAGAAAGTGCAAAGAGATCAAGGGCAGCGTTGAAAGTTCCTTGGAGATCAGATTGGCCAATTAGGTGAATATATAGGCCCAGGGCGACCAACAGCGTAATGCCTCTAGACAGCATAGCGAACCCCAAATTTTTCCCCACGCTACAGCTTCCCAACCAAAAAGAATTAACTTAGTCTGCCCATCAACTCTTTACTTTCACTAGCAATTGTTCTTGGTCGTGTGTAGACTCAAAGCGTCCAATTTTGTCGTACCTTTGTTGTCAGAAAACTGCGTCAATTCAGCCGGTTATGGACCTCTTCGGAGCCTTCAGGTACACTCTGCATGGTCCATGGGGGTGTGCTTCGGTGCCCCCTCCCCTCCCCTCTGTATTCGCCACCGGACCGAGCAGCTTAATGGATGGGGTCCACCAAAAACATAAGGCCATCCATTCAAATAAGAAATACTCACGACGCAATGTGTAGGGCTCCGAAAGATCGCGTGTGTCCGAGCAGGTTGGCATATAGGGCCCCCGCGAAGAGCGTATGGCCTTCCATTTGAGTAGGAAGTACCCAAGACCCAACGTGGACGGCCCCCGAATAATCGGGTGTGCCCGAGCAGATTATCAGATGGCTCCGACAAGAGTGTAGTGCCCTAAATTCAAACACCAAAACCCAATACACAGGGCCCCGAACAATCCAGCGTGGCCGAGGAGGCGAACAGATGGGTTCCCAACAAATGCGTAGGGCCCTCCATTCAGGTAGGAAGTACTTAAGACACAATGTGGAGGGCCCCCGAATTATTGAGTGTGCCCAAGCAGATTAACAAATGATGCCCCCGACAAGATCATAGGTACCTCCACTCAAAAAAGAAGTACCCAAAACGAGATGTAGAGGTCCCCCAACGATCGAATGGGCCCAAGCATCTTATCAGAGGAGCCCCAACAAAAGCGTAAGGCCCTCCATTTCAATAAGAAATAACCGAAACACAGTGCTGAGGGCCTCCTAAAGATGGACTGCACCCGAGTAGGTCATCAGATGACCCCAATAGGAACGCAGCGCCCTAAATTCAAACACCAAGACCCAATGCGCAGGGCCCCCCGAACAATACAGTGTGGCCGGGGAGGCGCACAGAGGGGTCCCCAGACAAGTGCGTAAAGCCCCATTAAAAAAGAACGTACCCAAGACCCAATGAAGTGGGCCCTCGAACGACCGAGTGTGCCCAAGCAGGCTGTCAGTTGGGCCCCCGACAAGAGCGCAGGGCCCTAGGCAAGTGACAGGGAATTTGAAGCGCCCTTGACCAATTTAGAGGGCCCCTGAGCATATCGCGAGTGTGTAGGTAAGTTAATAGAGACCCACGTCAAGGGCCGCTGAGCGACCGAGAG